TGAAGAAGCAGAGACCTTTTGTTGTTGCGTCGTCTGGAAATTTTCACAGACGATGGATTGAGTGAGCTGTTCTATTTCTCGTCTGTGTCCTTGGGTCTTGTCAAAGGTCACGTTCGCGTAGGTTTGCTGTGTCAGACTGAGACCAGGATAAGCGAAGTGACCGAAATAATCGCTTTAGATGAAAAGGGATGGATTAAGTAGGCGAATAGCCACCACCATCTCGGTTGTAGAAAGATGCCGTTGATGAACAGTTTGGATGGATTTGCTGGTACTTTGTAGATCACCTTGAATGCGTCCTCATTTGCTTGATGACCCGTGTCTGCAAGGTGTTCTACCAATGCACTTTTAATCGTTTTCCCTAACCCCGTACTCAGCCATTGATTCTTTACGAAACCACACAAGAACGAAATAAAAAAACTCTGGTCTTTCATTTCCAAACCACAAATCACAAGATCACAATCAACCAATCATATTCATCATATCAGCCCATTACACTAGTTTGACAACTTTGAACCCTGTATATAACTGTCTTGGCCCGAGGAGGAAGTTATCGAAAACAAGCTCTGTTAGCTATAGTGATGTCACGATAGGAGTATTTGTTAATAATTTAAAAAGATAAAATATCGTGCCGAATGTGTCTGAATGTAGTGTACCCGTCAGAGAGACTCACAAAGGGTCCATAAGCCTTTGGGCACATTTCCGACGGAGCTGTTCCACTGGTAGGTAGAAGCAAGTTTATATATGAAATGCACTGAAGTATTCAAATGAAGTTTTCGCGCTCGCACGCCTAACTAATGACCAAGCTGCGTTGCTTCGTCTGGTTTGATGGGCAAGAGAGCCTAAAAGGACACAGTCAAAGTTCTTTAATTGCTGTAATTTATGTTTCGTAAAAATTGAAAGACTTTTTAGTTCATTTTAATCGTTTCAACTCGTTTAACCCCCGCACCCACCGCGAAATATGAGCATAATGCATTTAAAGCATTGAGTTCCCTTTAACCATTTCATCAAAACAGAAAATCACGCAATTCCCCACCGGTCTGTTTAAATTATTTTCCGAACAAACAGTATTCCCTATTTCCACCTGCTCAACTTTATCTCAGACTAACGATTTATCTCTTCCGGAAACTTCTGCCACAGTTTTCTATCGTACATCACTTACCCATTACACACACAACCTAAACACAGTGTATCCACTTCTGTAACTAGGTATCGTTATAAATTTGCTTGGCCGTTATCCCATATCTTTCGAGATTTCTGACACAAAATACATTTGTTGGAGAAATCTTTTTGAACTACCCGCGTAACTGATATCCATTTTCACATTCCTCTTGATTTCACGATACTTTATTTTACTTTTTCTCTCTGACTGTATGTGATTCTGAAAGGCCCTGGTGTGTGCAACGAGCTGAAAATCCCATTCATTTTGGGTGAATAGAGTGACTTTTGAATTGTGACAAATATACAATGATGTGCGCCACAAGTTGATGTCAGCTGTAGACCGTACACTCCCAGCTGCTTAACTCAGACCCATTGAGTTAGAATTGATTTAAACAGACATAAACATGGTTGACAAATCGGTTGCATTCCTTACACACATTGTATGTCAATTCACCTGCAGTTGCGATGACGCGTACGTAGGCAGAACAAACAGCCAGGTCTCACAACGGATGGCCGAACATATTCCACAGTGGTTACGGAAATCGATGATGTAACCAATAACCGAGGGTCCGTCGATCGCAAGAAACCCGGGCACATCTGTTGCGAAACATCTGATGAAAACAAGAGACACAGTTGACCACAATTCGTCTTTCAAACCACAATTACGTACTCACAATGCTCACGTTTTGGCAATTAGTGAAGCGTTGCTTATTCGAGTACATCATCCTACCTTTCAGTCAATCCACTTACCATGATGTTGACCTTCTACTTCTAAATTTAGTAATCGTCGTATGCTTGTACGCTTTCGTTCACCATAATTGATTAATCCCATGTGTTATATATGTGCCTGTTTGTTTTAAGTCAGAAACTGAGAACGAAATGTTCACATAGTGCATTTGTTGTGAGACAAAATTGCCACGGTTTGAGAACACATGTTTTGTCATCAAACGGGGCCGATACACTTCTACCACGGGAGATGACTCAGCCGCGGTCTCGTGCAAGTTAAAACAGACGAGAGGAGAAGTAAAAGGGAGATGAGAATTTTGGATAATGTTAGTTTTGAATTTGTTAAAGTCACATACGAACTGTTTAGCTCTATGTTGGGGCTTTTGTGCTCCGGGTCCGGTTGGGAACAGGGGGAAGGGAGCCGGCAGTGGGTAGCTTTCAGTTTGGTTTCAATACATATCTGACTTATTTATTCAATGCAACGAATAGCAAAATGTGAGGCTGTGTAGTAATTGTAGTAGTAGTAGTAGTAGTAGTAGTAGTAGTAGTAATAGTAGTATTAGTATTAGTAATAGTAGTGGTAGTAGTCGTAGTAGTGGTGGTGGTAGTAGTAGTAGTAGTAGTAGTAGTAGTAGTAGTAGTACGCAGTGAACTCGAAAGACGAACAACGCAATAGCAATCACGGAATACAAATCACGGATAGGCAATCATGGATATTACATAAGCACTGGGTCACACTGACACTTGCACGCAAAATCCCACGTAGCCAAGACGCGAGGAAAACGCCATAAGAGGAGTAGTTAATTTATTCAAAAAAATAAGGGGGATTAAATAACATGTACCAAATATGCTCATTGGTTATCCGAGCTTCTACCAAACGCGTTCCAGTACTTCTTGTATCGTTCTGCTTCTGTCTGAGCCGCACGGTCTCTGATCGGGTGGTCAGTCTACCTATGGTATATAGTCAGAAGCAGTGACACGTACGCACTTTGCTGATGTCACCCGCTAAATTTGATTGATCACTGTTGTCCTAAAACTGTAATACATTGCTCCAGGGTACAAGTTATATACTCTCATATATACATTAAGGTACCATGTGTCTTGTCGTTTGTTCTTAAGGCACGAAAATAATAATTTCACTTTGTTTATAACCGTATTCGTAAGAACAAAGTGGCAATTTGGTACAAGATTGATAAATCCCAGTTCCAATTAGAGGCAATAATCGATTAATAACCCCGGTCTTAATTTAAATCGGATTGTTGACGTTGGACAGTGTTTCTGGTCACACGTGTCGTGTGCTCAAAATCTCGTTTTCAGAGTATGGTTTTGTTTTTACTGACAACTCTGGGGGAATTTCGTGGTAAACAAAATCGTAACAGTTTATTCGCATCGAAATGGAACTACATACAACCTGCACGAATGCAGAGTCATGGATCAGATGGAACCAGCTCCTGCGACACAGTTCGACTACTCCGGTTGAGACGAGTTCATTGGAGGGAAACACTCGCAGGATAGGTTTGTCATAAATGATGCTTTCAGTAAATGTTTTTCTTCCCATTGGTCAGTCACGGGCATCTGCACTGTGCTCAATTCCTAGGCTATTTTGAAGTTCTGAATATTGAGGAGAAATATATTTACGAGAGAAACGACTAAAATATCCGATATAATTGTAAAACGCACGCGTTGATGATGTGATATTGGGTACTTTGACCTGGAGGAAATATACTCCAAGGATATTGAAATATCCCATATTTTTGTCTTACATTCAAGTAGGTTATATAGCTGTAGAGATTCGTTGAAAACAGTTGCCTTATAAATATGATGACGATTTGGTTGATGATGGGTGGAATGCAAACCGTGCCTCTCAGTCACTGATAATGACGTAACGATAAACGAGTAAATTCCCTAGTTCCAAACTGGAAATGCATTCATTTGCACGAAAATGATCGTTTCTATTTGGACTGAAATTTGCCAAACTTGACAGTTCATCAAAAAATGCCTCTCCCGTCCACCCTGTCCAGGTCACCGGATCTGCATGATGTGGCAAATAGTTAGACCATTGAACACTCGTTTCTCACTGTCTTTTTTTCATAACACCGTCTGACTTCCCCCATTGTGTGTGTTGAATGGCAGCTCTCTGATTGGCCGCTTGTCCCTTCCTGNCCCTTCCTGTATAATCAATAAAAGGAGTTAAAATGAAAAGAAAGGAAATAAGGGGAAATTTGTGAGGAGATATTTATATTCCGGCTGAAATATTATTCGTAAGCTATTATCGACATTATGAGGCTACAGAACATTCGGTATTTTTAAAATAAACTGAAAATTTGCATACTCAACTAAATTTGTCCATCACACAGCGCGGTGATCTAGTAGTAAGTAGCTTTCACTAATGCAGATTCAGCTCAGAAAGCTCATACTTCCGAAGGCCTGTTTGCCTACAAGCTAATTCAATTATCTTTCTAATCGATCCAAAGAAAAACGTTCTTTTTCAGTCGGGCATGGTTCAATCACCGGGCAATAGATTTATGTCAAACATTTGACGCTTACATCCAAAAACTGGAGCAATTTATCAGCATGTTCCGTTATTTCTGAGGAAAACATATCGATAACTTTGTGGTGAATCTCCTGCGCAGATTTTGTCGTACTGATATTGATGATAATTTCTCCGAATAAATTTGAAAAGGGCCAGAAGTGTTATGCAAGATGTCTGATGCAGTGATATTTCTTTCGCATATCATCAGGTACTTCATGCAAATTACAAATGGACATTATATATGTATGGTGACAAATACATTCAAAGGCAAGATTCATACAACTTGTTCACAAGACAGTGTAAGTAGTTTACCAATACTTTATCTCCTAATCTGAATACTGATGGGTGGAAATTGTTCGCAAATGGGTGAGGATGACGTGTTAATGTTTGTGTGTTTCAGTAGGTATTAAACTGAGAGGGAAAGTTAGAACAGATGGACATGCGAAAACAGGAAGTTAATGGACCGAATAAACAATACTGACGATTATCAAGAACAAAAGTTGGAACTCATTACATAAATAAAGAATCCCATCCCCACAACCGCCAACTCAAATGTGATCTATGAATTATCTTGTGTCTGTGGATGGAAATACTTCGGTCTTACGTTGCGGCAATTCGGAACACGAATCTCGGAGCACATTCCAGAATGACTACTGGCAAATTCAACTGGAAGCGCTCAAAGCTCTATCATGAAACACCTGAAGGCGACTGGCCACCCAGTGGATCCAACGGACGCATTCCGAATTGTCTATCGTTCGAAACGATCCTAAAATTCGCGGAAGCCGTGACCGTAGGAAGAGCGAACCCGATTCTGTGCGCTCAGAAGCAGATGGTGGTCGCATCCGAGTCATAAATCGAGTCATCATCGTCATGTTGTTTTCCATGTCCAGTTTAACTACCAGTTCTGTAATTCTGTCGATTTACGGCGGAAGACCAAATCTTCCATGGTCGGGGACAATCTAGCATCAGTGTATTACCCGGACAATAGGCTAGTATGTTTCACTAATTTAGTTATTCCTTATAGTTACTGGCGGCTCTAGACAATGTTACTATATTGCACATCAGATCATTTAGTAACTACCTGCGAGTTTCAGTTTGTTCACTTCAAAAGGGTGATACACAGAAAATCTTCAACAGCACTGAAAATGCTTGATCGCGTGCACATGTTCGAGCACAGTTATGCTTTTGGCCGTTTCAATAGACCCCTAGCACAATCCAGTTTTAAGAATCAGGTCCACTCCATCCTAGCTGATCTTTCGCTCACGACAAGGGGGGGGGTGGCATATTCACTGACCTCTTTTGTTTGCACAACTCCGTCCTACTACCCTGGTGAGTTAGAAGTGACACAAGATAAAACTTGAGATTTTATCCAATTTTATTTCAATAATCAGATTTTGCTGTTGACAAACAAGCCTCCATCTGGCCAGAATAATACTGGCCAAAATCAGTAAACCCTGTTCTATGCAGTCGTATAGTTGCTTGTTCCGATACAATCATGTGCAATCATTTTGTCTTTTTGTCGAGTTTGACAATTTGTTTGCAAACATTTCATCACCAGTCGAGGTGACACAATCAGTGTTTGTGAAGTGGCAGTGTTCTGCTCGTGCTCGCTCGTTTATATAGGTGTTCTTCTCCATCGACTAATTTTGTCCCTTGCTCTCACTCTGTTCCACTCGGTTCACCGTTAAATTGGTACAAGGGAGGTGAGGGTTGGAGGTGAGGAGACTGTCCTTTCGTCCTTATCACGGTTTCCGTCACGATGTGGCCCTTTTGTTGCGTGATTTGATTCTTGAGTTGCATCAGCGCGTACAAATGATCCTGTTCTATGTGCCTTTTCATTCAGTTGATTAAAGAGTGCCAAGCGTCGAGAAATTCTCTGGTGTGTTTTGATCGGGCTTGGTCGACAATTCTCACTGATTCGAAGTCAAATTGATGTTCTTCTTGATCTTCGTGGAGGGAAATCAACGATAGTGGGCCATGTCTCCTGACTTCCGATTGGTATTCACCGGTCCTTATTGACAGTTTTCTCCCAGTTTGTCCGATATAGTGTTTTAAGCAGTAATTGCAGTTTATTTTGTAGATATCATTGCTCCTGTCCTTCTCCATTGTTCTCTCCTTTGGTTTTGACAGAATTTCCCTGCCTTACGTCAAGGACGGTTCGGAAATGCTGGAAAGACTGCTCAGATCACATGAAATCCAAATCGCCTACAAACTATTGACTTCTGCTGAGGAAGCCCTTCTTAGTACCTTGTCCTAGGCGGAGTTGTTTCCCCCACCAAACAGAGAACGGAAAGCTAACATTCGGGCAGTTCATCTGGGGCAGTTGGCTAAAAAGCCTGGTTCCAAATGAACCAAGACGAAGCGTATAAACCTCTTCCTCTCACACAACTTCCTGGTTATGGCGGTGAACATCTCTGTTCGATCGGATATAGAGGTACTGGGCACCTTGGAAGTTGGACTCCTTTCAGGGGCATATGATATGATGACCAAGACACCAGCCCCCAATGGATTGCGGTTTTCACACACCGCTCCACTGTCTTTCGCTTCAGGCTTTGATTGATCAAAGTTTATGAATTCACTTGCTTGGATCTGGGCAACCTGGTAGGATCCCGCCCTTGAGCAAATCATGGGCCTTTTACCTTTATTATAAAGGTTATTGTATCGAGATCTATCGATACACGGTCTGAACTAAGAAGTGTGGAATATATATATATATCCAGGTATTGATCACACTCGTGCACTATCCTGATTTTCATCACATTTATTCCTCACAACGCTCCGTTTTTCTAGCTCCACTCAGGTGATTGAATATGATATTTCTCCACATCACATGCAATATATCTGATATAATATTCACTTATATCTTTGCTTCTATTAGCCACGTGCCAATAAAATGTACGATTTCGCGATTTTGGTGATGTCTGCTTGTGCATCAGTTGTCAAATAACAAAGTCACAGTAGAAAACGTAACAGGTATTGTGCTTTCATCTCGTCCATATTTTACTTGCTCTTCTTTATTTTTGAGCACTGGAGGCAGTCACTTTACGAGGGAGTCCGCCAAGTTGAATGCCAAACAGAATTTGATAGTTTCCTCTAATAAACCCCATACCCTAACCACTGACGACCGATGTCGAGGCAGCTAACTTATCCCTGTTTCGGGGAAAAGTTTTCTCTTACAATAAAATCCCAGCTGCTGCGCGGTAATTAAACAAATTTCACATTTAACTTGACTCCCACGGAGACTGTGTAAAGCAGTGGGCAAAATATCAAAAATGTTAAAACCTTGGTAAATATTTTTTAAAAAGTTTTAATCCATTGCTTGATCCGCGTACGTATCATATCTTACTAGTGGTTGTTTATTTCAGAATTAGAGAATTCTACATTCATTTAGCTTGTGTAATTCTATCAGTTGATCTGAAAGTAGCATAGAAGAGGCGTATTTCCGAATGTCAATTGAAGCGGTCGGGTACAAACTCCCCGGATCAGGAAAGCATTTTTCACTGGTGGGCATCGGCATACAATTGATCGTTCGAATCTCACTATGACCGACATAAGAGAGCTCTTTTGCTTGCGTCTTATTAAACTGTTTGATCACAGGATCGTTCGGGATAATTTTGTGTTTCAGAATAACGAAACGGCAATACTGAGATAATTTCAATACAGCAGGTTAAGCGTGGAGGAGAAACGCTTTCATGTGCTTCATACATTCTCAAGCGCGTCTTACTCACTATCGCATAGTTTTACTTGACTAAACACGGTCAAATTTTCACGTTTAACTCATCCAGTTACTTGTGAGTAGTGGTGTATAGGATAGCTGATATTGATTTGAACTGACTATCCTTCAAATTTCATCTCCTCGGATTATCCTCAGTTCTTCAAATCAACCATAAACCACAATCATACACATCAAACCATTATATTTCGCCTTAAGTACACTTCTGCATCGGTACAGAAGCCCAATAACTAGCACTATGAAAATCGGAACATATTCGCAAGTGACTCGAGACCTCGATGATGAAAAACCCTCTGGGTGGCCATTTTGACTAGGCGATTGATGACGAAATAATCTGTCCATAACCAAGCGCACGGTTTATCTATAGTCNNNNATAGTCATCTTTGGACCTCTGTTACTTATTGTGTTCCGATACAGTGAGAAACAGGCAGAACAGTGCCTAGCAGATCGTGTAACCTAATTGTCTGTGGTCAGAATCTCTTATCACGGACGTCCTGCTCATCATAGGTATGTAACTTTGTACCGTGCCCCTTGTTATAATCTTTGCGGTCAGTGAGTCGTTGCTGTATGCATTTCAGATCGATCTGTTTAAGGAACTGGAAGTCATGGACGAAGTACTATCGTCTCAAAGCGTTCATTTTTTCCTTTGTAATGAGTGCCTGGATGAACAGTACTCGGCACTTCAAATCAATCAACTTTTGTAATCTTCTTAAAACGCGCAGTCCTGATAGAAAACAAAATACTCCAGACAATTTTGTCAGAAAACGACCGGAGCAGGCATACAGATCGCTAGTGGCAATGGGGAGTGGAGTTAACCGGCTCAAAACCGAGTCAGAGAATCAAAACAAAGCGGGAACCAAATTATGATGTACAGTCGAAAGCAGTTACCCTGTTCGTGTTGTTTCTGTTTCCTGTTGTTTTCGCGAGCACTTGAACTAACTTGTTTGTGTCTGTTTCTCGTTTGTGTTTGTGTGTGTGGGTGTCTCTCTCTTTCTCACTCACTCTCTCTGTGTATTTAGTTCAGACCTATAAAAATCAACAATCCGCTTCCAAACGGAGATGCGATCCAACTGCATCATCAAAGCCAGCGTTAAGTGGCCTTAATAGCCATTCTTTGTTTCCTCCATTGCTCGGTTGGTGATTTATGAAGTAGCCATTCAAAATGATTTAATTATTATTAGATAGCACCATCACCCCAACCCCGAATTTCCGTCCCCCCCCCCATAGGCTCAATCAGACCCCTCGTCGATCTATGTATCCATCTCCAAAACCCACTCTTGTCCATCAAAGAGATCAGTAATGTCACTAGATGCATGTGTTTACCTGTGTGTCGGAGCTTCGCAGTTTCATCATCAAAGAAATCCGTTTGATTTGCCAGTGAACATTCGCTGACTGTGCTGATTGATGAGGAGGCTTGATCAATTACATGGAGATTTAATTGCTATATCCGATTGGAAATTCTTTTGTCCTGTTTCATTCGAGCCACTCATCTCGGTAATGGGCACGAGAAAGCCCGTGCATCACTGTGTGACGCAATGCGAACTTCCAGTTTTCATTTCACCCACGAATTTGATGATTATTTGTGTACGTGAATTGGTTTGTTAAGATTGAATGTTTTAAGTAGGTTGAAGTAACAACGTGTCGGCAAATTAAGAATAATATGGCCCTAATTAATTAGAAACAAAGGTATTGAATAAACTCGTGCAACAACCCGACTTTCATCACACTTGATCCTCCCAACGCTCAGTATTCCGAGTCTCATTCACGAGATTGAATGTTAGATATTATCCCACATCAGACGTAACACATATGTAATAAAATCCACTCATGTTCTTGATTCCATTAGTCGCATACCGTGAAAATATGCGGTTTCTCGAGTTCGACGATAGTTACAGGTGCATCACTTGTGAGGTATCAGAACCTCAGTTAAAAAAAAATAATTATAATTTATTTATCAAAATTACCCATGGAATTGATATAGGTTTTGTCCTTCATCTCATCCATGTTCTGTTTGCCCTTCTTCATTTTTCGAGCACTGGAGGCAGCCGCTTTTTTATACAGTTCACCAAGTTGATTGTCCCACAGTATTTTCCAGTTTCCTCTAATTCATGGCGTACCCT